AAGCTGTAATAGCTGCAAAAGGTGGACCGACATCATATTGAACTCTGGGTTAGGAATGGGATGGCACTTCAGTTCATAGTATGAGTCAAGGCAGGTGAGCGAATACTTTTGGTAATATAGTGTATAAACCAACAACAGGTTCCCACAAGTTTGTCTTTCCAGTGTGTGTTTATTAAATTACAAAGGTTATTAATATTATCATCATTTGTACTGTTATTATGATTATTGGACCAAACAGAGTGATCATGGACAGTTTTTTTTGGAGAAGCCACTGGGACATGGAGACGTCACAACCATCTGGACTCTAGTCACTTTACAACACACAGAATAACGATGAGCATGAGGATGACGACAGACTTTTTTTTTTTCCAAAAATTTTCGGATATACAAGCTGTGGCGATGGTTGGAAAGAACGAGCAAAAAAAAAAAAAAAAAACTCATTTCAATATTTTTTTTTCCTACACCCGGTCACATCGCCGTCCTCGTCTTTGGCCGACCCTGTCCCCTGGTCGCCGTCTTCAGGGCGAAAAATGTTCACTAGAAATAAACCCCAGATGGGAGCAGATTCTGTCAAATTTGGACAACGTGGTTTGGACGAATGGTTCAGCTTTGGTCCGGGTCACACTTTCATTTCAAAATATTCTATAAAAACCAACATTAGGGCTTGGGCTGAGTGGAACACCCCACAGATGCAAGGTAATCTATATCTCTCTCATAAGAAGTGTTGAAGTGTCAGTTCAGAACATTTTATTGGGTCGGGCATATCGTTGTCCTCGGTGTTAATCCTCCACATCGGAAACAAGTCAAACTGTCCCTTTAAAGCTCATCTTTATCTACAGATAGGGTTAAAGAGACTTAGCTCGTTAGCCACAGGACTGCACTCGGTCCTGGTCGCTGCTGAAGGCGGACGGTGGGAAGGAAAACAAAAGCAGTATTGGCAGAAAAACACCGGAACGCTGGAGACTCGACGATGAGGCCGTCGCTCAGCAGCGACGTAGAGACTCGACTGCACGTGGCTACAGTCTATGGCAGCCGTTTGTTAGCAGTTAGCTTCTCAGCTCTGATAAAGGAATGAGGGATAAAGCATCAAAATAGTTTCCCAAATAAAGAAAAAACAAAACAAAATAAAAAACAAATAAAATAAAATTACTATCAAGTTCACAGTCACACATCAAAGAGTTTTTTGTTTAAAAGTTGTTTTTTTTTTCATTTTTCACTTGGATTTTATCGTCCCCCGAAATCTTGTGCAGACCGCAGCCATGTTGGACCGACAGTGATGGCAGGCGAGGAGACGAGAGTTCGTTTTTTTCTTTTCTCTTTTACATCGGAGTCCATTTTTAATTTCATGAGGTGTGCAAGTAAGTCCGCGCGAGTGTGAGTGCGTGTATGTGTGTTTGTGTCTTCAGTTGTTCTCGAACAGTGACAGCAGGTCATCGTTGTTGTTGCTGGGCAGATCAGGCGGGCCCAGGTAGGACAGCAGCTCGTCAGGATTGGTCAACTCGGGAAGCAGCTGCGAAGAAACGGGGAAAGTTGAGCTTTTTTTTTTTCGGTTCTGAACAGGACTGGCTAACACTTCTAGCTTATTTCCCAAATCGACAAACAAACATTAAAAAATCAGACAGAAGTAGACGATAGAAATTTTTCTTGGTTTTGTGTCTTTAAGAAAGTCTATTTGTCTTTGTCAGTACTGCAGTAGCAGCATTCGATAGTCACGACTGTAGACACTGCCCTCTGGTCAAAGGTGATACAAGTCAATTTTACGACTAAAAAAAAAAAAAAAAAACCTAATGTGGAATATTTTGTCATTAATTTTGTAAAAAGTTTGAGAGTCCGATTCTCTGTGGTACGTACATCCAGAGAAGGTTCCGGCACATCCGCGGACCCCACGAGACTGAAGGAGCTGTCGGCCTGTAGTCGGGGGTTGGGGTTGCTACGCTGCATTAACTGAGTGCCGCCCCCCAGCTGTGAGTTGCCCTGTAGACTCTGTGACTGCTGGGCGAGTGAAGCACCATGCGAAGTGGAGTCAAGACGTCCTGAGGCTGGTATCTGAGGGCAGACGAAGGAGGAGGAGGAGGAGAGAATAAGAACAGGAGGAGAGAAGGAGGTGACGAAGGAAGGATGTGAGGAACGAGAAAAGAAAAACTCACCTGTCCTGTGAGAGGGTGTGGGGGAGGCTTGTCGGGGGTGAGGAGGGCACTGGAGAGTTCAGACTGATAGGACAGAGGGGGAGGACCAGGGGAGGAGAAATCCGCTCCCATCCCCGGAGTCCCTGGACCACTGAAGTCAGAGAAAGTCCCAGACTGGGCTGAATAGGACGGAGCTGAAGGAGAAGGAAAGTCGACCAGAGTTATCTACTGACCGTCTACTGACCATCTACTGTCAACTGACCGTCTACTGACCATATATTGATTGTCATATTCAGTGCTTTTTGATAATTACCGTTCTGTGTCCTACCTGGTCCTGGATATTCCGGGGTGTTGCTGTTGTTATTGCTGCCCCCTGCAGGTAGGGAAGAATAGGGCATGGGGGAAGACGAGGAGGCGGCGGGGGCCGTGGAGGAGGAGGGGGCTGGACCGAGCGATGCGATCATCTCCATTACGCTGGGCAGGACCATATGACTTGGGCTGAGCGTCCTGCAGCGCTTCAACACGGGGCCGTCCGACTCCTCCTTCACGTGGATGTCCGGCTTCACCGGGACGGGTTTCCAGCTGCAGACGGGGTCGATGGTGATCTCCTCGTACTCCGAGCTGAGGGACAACAACAGGGGGCGTTATTTCGGCACATTGATATGGGATCAAATCCCCAGTCTAATATTCCTGGTGTTCATTTCTTCCCTACTGATTCCAAATGTTGTTTCAATGTTAGCCTACAGCAGGGGTATCAAACTCATTTCCACCAGGGGGCCACATCAGCAATACAGTTCCCCTTGAAGGGCCGGTTCTAACTGGAAAACTGTATAGATCAAGGGGCCCCAAACCCCGGTCTGCGGACCAGTACCAGTCCATAAGTCATTTGGTACCGGGCCACAGTGGGACACAATTAAAAAAATGTACTTCATTTTTACTAATCAATAACTCAATAACAGACTAATAAATGTTTCTGCAATTGATTATTTGTTCAAGCTACAAATATCGTTCAGTGCTGTGTAATTAATTTTTTTTAAATTAAATAGGTAAAAAACTCTAAATGCTTCTTAAGCTCCCCGGGGCAACACAAAACGGCTTGGCGGGCCGCATTTGGCCCCCGGGCCTTGAATTTGACACATATGGCCTACAGTACCGCAATATATACTATTGTTGCCCCTGTGTCGGGATAGGTTTCGTATCGCCAGATTGTTGCCAATACACCCCCTAGTGGAAACTTTTGGTATATACCTTTGTTTTTTTTTTCTCTCCAATTCCTTCCATTGTTACTGTTGGGTTCGCACTTACTTTTGAACGTAGATGAGGATTCCTAGCATGTACTGATCCACCTCCAGACCTTCTAACAGAGCGGTTTAACTGCACGCACACACACACACACACACGTTATTATAATGAAACAATATATAACAATATGGCGACACATTGTGCACTTGTTGCTCCTACTTGCACACGGGGCATCTCCAGGTCCCTCTCTCACAGTTAAGTTGCAGGTACGACTCCAGGTCGAAACACTGTGGGGTAGAGAGAAGGCGTGAGCTTGTCACAGGTAAAAAAATAAAAAAAAAATAAAAAAAATTGCTGTGTGGACTCATGCGATTGGCTGCTCTGACCTGTATGTGTCGGCAGTCGTGACCTCTGGCCGGGAGCTGGATGCGGCGGAAAGTGATCGGACACTTTAGAGAGACTCTGATGGCTGTTTGCTCCACGCCGTCTTCGCCGTTTAACCCGGGAGTCCCAGGGATGGAGCCACTGCTGAAGTTCCGCTTTACTTAAGAGACGAAGAGGGGAGCGGGGGGTCAGAGGAGCTAAGAGGTAGGTTTTAAAGTCTTTGGAAGTAAAAAAAAAAAAAAAGGACTCACTCTTGGTGACGCAGTGCTCTGCGGGCAGCAACCTCTTCTTCATCAGACCCTGGAGCACAGAGCGAACTGACGGACGATGGACCAGCTGGAGGACAAACAGGTGGGACTGCAAAGAAGAAGAAGGGGGACGGGGGAAGGGGTGTCATTTTTATATGGTTTGCGGACAGTCATCGTACGACGGCATCAAGGGTCGTGTTTACAACTACTGCATGGATCTGGTACAACTAGAGACGTGGAATACCGCGGCCCCTGTAGTACATATGCCAGGCCTGTGAGTGGCGCTGTGTCAGCCACGCGCTAACATGCTTTCACCGGAAGAAGGTGAACAGCAGGTTTGCAAAAAAAAACCAAAAAAACAATAGACATGCACATCGTAAGTAAACTCGAGATGGCTAACTGTAGCACCGACTAGCCAAATTAGCTTCACGATCACGGTCAATTTTTTTTTTTTTTACAAATTACAAATTCAACTCCATATAGTTGAGAGTGCAGTGCCCCCTGTCGTTACTTTATTTTCAAAATAGATCACGTAGTATCTACATTTAAAAAAAATATATTGTTGAGAGCACATAATCCAGCCCTGTAGATGGCAGTAATGCACCTAAAGTTTGTTCGTCAGCTGAGGAGCGGACGGACAGGATTCTCCTGAGTGACATCACTCAATCACGTCAACATCAACACTGATGTGCTGCTAAAGGTCCGGCGATGTGTCTCAAGCTGTGGGCTGCGGACACAGCACCGTAACCTCTGACCTCTGACCCTTGAAATGCGGCGTGTTATTTTTTTTTCTTACACAGCAGCAGGCGGTGACGGTGATCTGGATGGTGTTCCTGCCCGGCTGACACACTTGTTTCAGGTACAGGGGCTTGTGGGAGGTTTTGTTGTCGCCTCGCTCGATGGTGAGAGGAGTTGCGTTGACGCTGACCTGTGGAGAAGAGCGAAGAAACGGTCAAATAAAAAAACAGGACACACGGCGACCGCGGAACAGATGGGAGTTCGGGGGGTACGAACTGGTCAGACCTGCACCGAGGCGGGCCAGTTAGTGTTCATCTGCCGGTCCTCGTGGTGGTAACACTTAAACTGGAGCTCCAGATCCGGTCTGGAACACAAACAGTGACGGGTGTCAGTATTCCGATTGGAAACAGGAAGCAGGAAGTGAAGACCACCCACGGACCGCCCGCTCTCACCTCATGATAAGCGTTTTGTAGACGGACTCTCGCAGCTGGAAAACGTGGTTGCTCACAGCCAGGTTGTGCTCCAACCTGAACGGCTCTAGGACGACACCGTCGCGCACGGGGAAGGTCAGCCGCAGTTCGTCACTGGGATTTCCTGCGGGCGGTGAACACAGCACAGAGGAGATGTTTAAGGACACACCCGACATCCTACCGAACGTATGCGTTTCACAGACGCGGTTATCAAACTATGGTTCGCGTACCATATGGTACTGTTACTATGAAATATAATGTAATGATGAAATATTTCACATTACTGTTCTTCAAAGTTGGCAAGTACTTGGAGAAACAAATATTTTCAGATGTTTTTCTCAATTTAAAAAGTTTGAAAAACTGCTAATCTAGAAACATTTTAAATAAAAAAAAATTAATTTAGACGAAATTAAAAAAATAAACAAAAAACGTCAATCCTGATCAGTATTTGGAGTTCTTCGTTTATTACTCTTTATGTCCAAGTTTGAACACATGGATAACAGCACCCTCTAGTGGGACCTTATGTATCCTACTTCAGAAAGTTGTACTACTTCAAATTTCAATGTTAATGAAATGTAAAAATTCTCTTACCTGTAGGGGGGGGCGGAGGCAGACCAGCCATGTTGGGTTTAATGTCTGGTAGGAAGGCGGAGGGCGGTGGCTTGATGTCACTGTTGCCCGGCGACATATAGGGAGGCGCCATGGAGCCGCTAGGGGTGATGGGCGGCGTTGGATTACCAGGCACCGGGGAGGAGGGGTAACCTGGCAACCCTCGACCAGGCTGGGAAGAGGGAGAGATAAAGGGGGGAGGACGGGGGTGACTTATTAGGATGTTCTAAGACCCCTGAAGTGCTCTGGCGCCCTCCAGTGGTGGTGTGCCCCACACTTAGAACCACTGGTGTGACCACGCACGGTTAATTGTGTTTATGCGTTGAAAGCTTTCCTCACCCCGGAAGGTTGACTGAAGGAGTTGTAGACACCACCGGGGCCCCCTGCTGTCAGTGCGTTCAAACCTCCACCCTGACCATTCAGTTGTTCCTGCTGGAAAAAAAAAAGTTTTATTTAAGTTATTTACTTATTAGTCGGAAAATATTTACACACCAATGAAAATATCACACTATTCACCTTGTAGTACTGCGAGTTGGGGGGCCCAGAAGGAGGGTATTGGGGCAAGGGCATCTTGTGACTCTGATAGGAGGGTGAGGAGCCAGAACGTTGGGGGGCGGGGCCTGCACCACCGGGACCTGAAGGTAAACAGACACAGAATCATGGACTCAGGTTAAAAAAAAAAAAAGTCACATATTTTTTTATATTAAAATTTTAAAATATACTATAAACATAAAATCCTACCTGGGTGGTACTGCATGTTAGGTCCAGGGTATGGACCAGGTCCAGAATGGCCGCCTCCACCTGAACCGGGCAACGCACCGCCAGCACCACCGGGGCCTGACATCACGTTGACGCTGGAACCCACTGGGACACCGTACTGCTGAGAGACTCCGGGGAACGACTGAGACGCAGACGGGTTGAGTTTTAGTTTTAGTACATACTTATATACTATACTACTACATTATTAGACGGGATCGTACTAACAACTCACCTCAGAGTACGGTCGTTTCAGACCCTGCTGGGGCCTCAGGTGACCCTGCTGTGGTCCGGGACCATAGTTTGGATGCTGGGAGACCCTCTGTGGGCCTCCAGGTCCGTACATGGGCCCCATCGAAGGAGGGACCCTGGCGGGTCCTCCTGGCCCGGGCCCCATACCTGCCGGACTCATGTTCGGAGGACCTCGGGGGCCGGAGTGGGACATGAACTGACTGTTGTAGGCCGGACCCGGCATCTGAGGAGAGAGTTCGAACACTCGCTTTAACATCAAGCCGTCAGAGCCGCGGTTTGAAAACACTCCTTCTCAACTGCAGCTCTTCACGGGCACAACTCAAACAAACACTTTTTCCAATGGTGAAATATTCCGAAGTATCAACAGAGGGCGCAGTTGAGGTTTTTCTCTCACCTGGCCGTAGTTCATCTCTTGATTCTGCTTCTCCTGGATGGCGGCGACTGTCGCCGTGGCGGTGGCAGTTGCTGTGGCGGCAGCAGCGGCGACGGCGGCGGCCGCGGCCTGAGTGAAGTCGGCCGATCCTCGGGAACCGCCAGGGTTGGAGGGGTAACTGCAGACAGAGAAGGTTCAGTCAGTTCGTATTTATTGGCGATGGTCGAACCCTCGTCGGACTAATCAACCAAACTCACCTGCTCGTGTACCCGCCTGGTCCTCCACTGTAGCCCCCGGTCGGCCGGCCGTACATGCCTTGGTTCATGTAGCCTTTGTTGGGCTCTCCGTAGCCCTGCTGACCCATGTAGCCACCTGGTCCACCGCCCATACCCGGACCGCTGGGGCCCTGCATCATGGGCCCGCCACCGGGGTTGGCGCCGGGTCCCATCACTCCTCCACCGAGACCCTGACAAGACATGTCACATCGTGCTCAGAGTCGGCGGCCACACAAAATGACTTGGCGTGCTGCATTTGGCCCCCGGGCCTCGAGTTTGACACAGGTGCTGTAGATGCACTTTAAGAAGTATCTTAAACCTTGAAAAACACACAGAAAAAAAAAATGCACAGAGGCACATCGCACAGATCTGGTGATGTCATACCTGACTGGCCGAGGGATTGGTCACTCCCCAGACGGTGGTTACCACTGACAGGGATCCGGTGGGCTGGTTGGTGGGCTGCTGCCAGTTGGAGGGGTCATACGAGTAAGAACCTTCACTGCAGACAGAGCAGACGTTTGTTTTTCCCATAGTATCATAAAGGGTCCATTAGTAGAGAATGTGGATGATCATGATCGCTAACGATTAATCACAAATGAATGACTTTTTTTTGTTTGAAATCAACATGTAGGTTCAGAACCAGTTCATCATGAATTGGATCAGTACCAGATCATCATCCGATTCATGATGAAGTGGTACCAAACCTAACCCTAACCCTAGGGGGTTAGGTGGTACTGAACCGGTTCAGTACCACTTCATCATGAACCGGTTCGGTACCACTTCATCATGAATCGGATCATTACCAGTTCATCACAAATTGGTTCAGTACCAATTCATCATGAACCAGTTCATCACGAACCAGTTCAGTACCAGATGATCATCCACCGGTCCAGTACCACTTCTTCATGAATCGGATCAGTACCAGTTCATCACGAATTGGATCAATACCACTTCATCACGAAATGGATCAGTACCAGATCATCATGAACCGGTTCACTCCAGGTTCATCATAAACCGGTTCAGTACCATTTCATCACGAATCAGTTCGGTCACCCCTAGTCCCCCACCCCCCCCGAGGGTGACGTGTTTAGGTGCGTACCTGTGCGAGTTATTGGCCAGTCCAGCCTTCATCTGGTTCAGGGGGTTCATGGTGGACGGGGCTCAGTGAGGTCCGGTCAGACTAGGGGGAGCAGCACGGACCCCTGCAGGACAGAGAGACCACCGCACATTAAGGACATCTTCAATCAGACATGAGAATCGACACGTAAAAAAACCCGCACGCAACGCACAGAACGGACCAGAGGTTTCCACGAACCTACGATCACCAATGTCAGAGAGTTTTAAATCAGGAGGTCTTGGTCAATTTAGTGTCAAAAACGGACAAAACAACAAGAAATATGTTGGTACCGTAGCGTAGCGGTTAGCACACCTGCCTCAAGAAACTGAGAACAGAGAGGGCTGGGTTCGATTTCCAGAGGAATGACATGCTTGGCGCCACCTAAGGGCAATATTTTTTACCCAAAATAATTGTTAGAAATGTATTGTTGGAATACAGTTGCGGGCCACATTGGAAGGTTTGGTGGGCCGTCTTTGGGCCACTAAACTTAAACTTATCTTTATTTTGTCATTTAAAGAATGACAAAATCGAAGTCCGCTTCCTTTTACCACTAGGCCACCACTGCCACTACTGCAGCCCTGAAGAACATGTTTTTTCTTCTTTCATTAATACTGTATATTCTCGTGTATTTTTTTTCTCTTTGTTGTTTCTTTCACCCACAAAGAGTTTCATCTGAAAAAGAATTCCTCCGTGTGGGTTGTTTTTTTTTTTCTTTTCACCAGTGGGAACAATGCTCACCAGAGCAGACGATACGTGTCCAGCGTGTGTCATTTTCCTAAGAAACAGACTTGAACTCCACCCTTCAGTCCACTAGCGTCTTTAGGTCTTATAAATACAAACCGCTTCACCATTGTTTCCCAAAGACTGGGTCCCGACCCTCAGGAGTTTACGATGTTAATGTCTATTGACTTGGGTCACGAAGGTTTGTGACTTTTATAATATAGGTCCCCAGAAAAAAAAACACTGCTTTGCACCGATATTACTGACATACAACAGTATTTTTTTTAAAAAATACGACGGGGCAAACAAACGCGCGGTTAATGTATGCATTCATTGATGCTGACAATTTGTTTAACAACACGTCAAGGCCGTTTTGTTATTTTTTAGGAGCAGTGCCTGTTCATCAGTGTGAGGATTCAAGCCCGGGCGTATACCGCAGTACAACTCCCATACTCCTATAAGCACTGTTATTTAAGGTCTCCTTTAGACAGTGAAGTTAACAGAACGGAATTTTTTTTAAGTGAACGTGAATTATTTTGGGGGGTAAAAAAAGTGTCATACCACTATAGCGCCACATGGTGGATTCAAACCTGCGACCTTCTGATTAATAGTGAGTAAAAGAACACAAGAGCATTTTATCATTTAAACTAATTATTATTTTGGCTCTTCTGAGGCGGGGCAGTTTGTTTCTAAACCTTTTTTTTAGTTCTGCGAGTTTAAAAAAAAAACTATCGTTTCTTAAACGATCTTAAAATGTTCAGACATGTACTGTAGTATTTTGACTTTTCCTTCCCACAGCGTAGGAGTATCGAGTTTAATCGCCTCAAATACCACAGAATTTAATCTTTTAAAAAAAAGAAGGAAAAAAACTGAGAAATGTGTCAAACTGGTTCAGAAACAAACAACGAACATCTAATTAACCCATCGCTGCAGCAGCAAGAAAAACCAACAACGCTGTCCCTTATCATCGAAATCTAGACGCAAAGAGGGTTGTTAAAAATAAGAGACAAAACATGGGGGGCGGGGCCCCTGAAATGACATGTGGTTTAAAAAAAAAACTTAAATTAACTCTCAGATACAAAACTTTGGGAAGAAAATTTAAAAAAAAGAAACACACCACAAAGTCTCGTCTGCATCGATCGAGAGGGACGTGACATCTACGGGCGTCCCTGTGATGTCATCGTGTTCCTGCAATGCGGCCACACCCGCCTGCGGACTCCCCGCTGTTTACATTGATTTTGGCCTCGGCCAGGTGGGTGTCATGTGACTCATCTCTCAGCTGAGTTTCTTTCCCACTCCCACAAACCAGTTCACCAAAACTCAAGTGTTCAAGGGAGAAAAAAAACATTTGTGTGTGTGTGTGTGTAAATGACTGGATTACACAACGCTGACGATGCGTTCGAGGCTCAGGACTTTTCCTTATTCTCCATTGTTTGATTAGTTCACGCTGTGTTTTTTAAGCATAACAACCAACCGATGTTATGTTACGATTATATTTGGACTTCAACCTGTTTTATATTTATTTACCGAAGCATTTTCTCAACTCAAACCTCCGTCAGCTAAAAGTTACAAGACCGGAAATAAAACAAATACAAATATATAATATTTAAATAAAAAAACAATTTGGACTCCTACATATTTTCCTGTTGACTAAATTCTTCAGCGTAGCTAACATTTTTACTTAGGTTATTACAAAACTTTAATTTTAAATTTTAAAAAGGAAAGAGCTGCAAAATTAAACGACTTTTTAAACGAAATTACAACTTTTATTATTATTATTTAAAATGCCTATTCAATTATTATTTTTAATTGAATTTGAACTTTAAAAATAGCCATTTTTAAACAATTCTACATCATAGTCATACTTAAAAAAACTCGAATCACACAAATATATTCATGTGATTTTTTTGACAAAACTTTTTTTTTAAGTTTGACTTTCAGATTCGTCTGTCCTTTGTCATTAATGGGTTTTTTTTAATTATTTTTTTTGAAAGACAAAAAAACACAACAGTCGTCTTTCCATTGCTGTCATAACCGGCTCCATGTTTTTAACATGGTCGGAAATGAGTACAAGTACTGCAAAACAACAACAAATAAAACCCGAATCATAACAGTTCACTTTGAAATAAATGACGTAAAGATTCACGTCACAGACGCGCGTTGTTTGTGTGCATAATACATCATTATAAATTATGTCACTTCCACGAATCCACGCGACGTCGTTCACCTCAGGTGTTCTTCGCCTTTAAACTGCCTCACAGGCGCGTGCACGGCACACACGCGCACGCGACATGTATTACCGCCACGGTGAACGTATGTGTTTGTAATTAAACGTTAGGTTTAGTCGTGTTGACGTTATTCTTCCTCGGGCTAAAAAATAAAAACAACAACCGTCCACTACAAAAAAATAAAAAAATGTGCGGAGACATTTTGAGGTTCTCCCAGTGCTGGAGGAGCTAAAGCTCACCATGCTAACAGCAGTTACTCCTGTGAGTGGCATCGTTGTTAGCATTAGCATGCTACTAGCACGACAGCAACCAACGTCCTGAGGAAAGAAAAAAAAAACAGCCCGAAATTGCTCAGCGGACACGGACACCGAATCGACTCGCCGTCCGTGTGTTTGACATTGACCACGGTGTTCGATATTCAAGCGTTTGCACGAAACACCCACAAACCGAGCCCGTTTCTCCCGTAGCCGCTAGCTTAACTACCCCAGCAGCCTGTGACAATGGAATGTTCTGCAGCTAGCGGTTAGCAACGGCTAGCTCCACTGTCTACAGCACAAAATACAGACATAACGTCGAGATAACGTGTGTTTATCTATTTTAAAACCATCATTCTAAGTTTTAATTTATCCATTAAATCTGTATTAAAACATCACCCGAAATAACCGACGCATATACACAATGGCTGGGATGCCGACCTACCTCCTCTACTTCCCCGGTGTCCGAGTCCTGCTTCGGTTTACCGTCGTGTCCTACGCTCCTCCGGCTGGGGCTACGGTGTGTAAAGTACGGAGAACCGTCGCGGTCAGTCCCCACGGCGGGGTGTCCTGGTCCTCCACGGGCCTGCTATCCAAAAGAGTTTCAAGAAATCCCTTCAGAGAAGCCCGGTTTCACCCAGCCTTCTGCTCGTTCCAGCTGCCCAGCTTGTCCTCCCCTACCTCCGTGCTGCTGCCACCGCCACAACGGCCGCCGCTGCTGCCGGCCTTTACGTCTTATTATCCGGCGTCGGTAAGCGACACCATCCCCCACAGCTTTGAGGTTGTTTTCTTTCCCCGAATTTTATTTCCACAGAAATAAGTTGTATTTTAAAAGGGAGTGATCCGGTTAGTGTGTGGAGGTTGCTGCCTGAATCGCGTCACTGTGTTTCCACTGCATCGTTCCTGCCGGTAGGAGAAAACCTGCAGGTCGGAGCGCAGAACTGCAACGACCCGAGGCGAGAAAGGGGAGGGGGTGAGGGAGGGGGGATTGCAAAGGAGCGAGAGCAGGGAGGAGGAGGATGGGGGTGGGGAGAAAAGAGCGTGAGACACGGAGACACGGGGGGGGAGATGAGGAGTGAGAAATTAAGAAAAGAGTGACGACGGAGGAAGTTGGAGAGAGAGAGAAAAAAAAGTGATGACGTCTTCATCCGAAAGAATGTCGCCCTCTACCTGTGTTGTTCTTTTTTGGGGGGTAGGTGCAAATGTTAACCAATGGAATAAAAAAAAAAGAGAAAAGACCCAATAACCTGAGAGTAATAGGGTTTAAAGCAGTAGACACAGTGTAGTACAATCACAAACAACAACAACAGCGCCCCCTGTGCAAAAAAGAGAAAAAGGCAAAGACTACAAAATGATATTTCCCCCCGCTGTTTAGTAAAAATAACAAAAATAATGATCGGAATCAGCTGGTAATATAAGTTAATAAATAAGAAATACTTTAAAATACTTTTACTTTTTAAGTATTTTTCGTAGAAGTTCAAATTCCTAAAGTAACGTGTGTACTGTTCCTCAATAAAACTGCACACGTAAAACAATAAAGTAGTACTACAAAAAATTCAATTTTACGACCACACACAACTACCAACAGATGGGGGGAAACAATTCCCGTGTGTACCACTAGAGGGAGCTAAAGATTCACCAGTTGTACACATACCGCAGTTTAAGAACCACCGATTCAGGCTAAAATCAGGTAGGAGTAATACTGTACATGTGGCCACCGTACTGCACAACAGCGCCCACTGTAGGTGATGTAGTAAAATGAAGTATACTGTAAAATATATAATTTAAATATACCCCCCCCCAAAAAAAAGAAAGAAAAGAGAATCATAATATACCGAGTATACATGTGAAATTTTTAAGAAATGCTTAATAAAACCGCAAAATTATTTTAAAAAAAATCAAATAATAATAAATGTAAAAAAGAAAATAAATATCTGTAATTTGCATTAAATTAAAGTCAGTTTCATGAGAAAATAAATCACATCATGTTCAATTGGTTGAGGGTCTCGGTAACGATGACATCACAGTGACATCACATTTTTTATCTTGAGCCTCAAAAAAGTGGAACACACACGTAGCCGTCGTCTGTTGGTAGCACTGTATGACTGAGGGCTGCAGCCCTGTTGCCGTGGCAACTGAGGCCTACACACACTTTGTGACAGTGAGATGATTTTACATCACTGACTACAGGAGGAGGAGGAGGAGGAGGAGGAGGAGGAGGAGGGGGTGAGGAGGGAACAGAGGGGTGAGACAAACGAGAACAAAGGAATTGGATGAGAGACGTCGAAAAATGAAGAAAAAAAAAGGAGAATTAAAAAATGAGGGGCGCGAGCCCATGTATGGTCTCTGCTAGAATCTAGACAAGTTTCACATGAAACAGGAAAGGTCAGAGCCAATCGAAAGGATTCAAGGATCACATGGGAGAAGCACGGGGAGGGAGGAGGGGGTGAACAGGGAGGAGAAGTGAAACTGGTGTGAAAACAAAGACTGTTTCATTACTACAACTGTTGTTTCTGTTGAGGTTTATCCCTCAGTCCCATCCAAACCACAGTAACCACTGGCAACCTGTAACGAGCACTGATTTTTAGCAAACGTTTCATGAAAATCCGGATGTTTATTAAAAAAAAAAAGAAAATCAACAATATTATCAATAAATGCACATCTTTTTTTTAGAAGTATCTGTGTTATATCTGTTACTACACTTTAGCTAAATATATTGTCTAATACTATAGTGAAAACAGCTACTACTTTTTTTTCTTATTCTTTAGCCAACTGAAGCATTTTAATAAATAATAATAATAATAAAGGGCCAAAGGTGGGAACTTTTCCAACCACGATCAGCCCCTGAACCAGGAGTTTTAACACCACTGCTTTAAATACTAGAGCAACACAGTAAGAGGGTTCCTTGAATTAGAAAATAGAATATAATTTCAAAAATAAGTATTTTTGCTATTTTCTACCCAGTATTTTTTTGCTAACTTCTACATCGTATTTTTGCTAGGTTCTACCTAGGATTTCTGATTAACTTCTACCCAGTATTTTCAGCTAACCTCAACCTAGTATTTTTGCTCAGTTCTACCTAGTATTTTTTAGCTAACTTCTACCTAGTATTTTTACTAACTTCTACATAGCATTTTTGCTAGGTTCTACCTAGGATTTCTGACTAACTTCAACCAAGTATTTTTAGCTAACTTCAACCTAGTATTTTTGCTCAGTTCTACCTAGTATTTTTTAGCTAAAAAATACTAGGTAGAACTGAGCAAAAATACTACGTAGAAGTTGGTAAAAATACTAGGTAGAACTGAGCAAAAATACTAGGTTGAAGTTAGCTAAAAATACTAGGTAGAAGTTAGCAAAAATACTAGGTAGAAGTAAGCAAAAATACTACGTAGAAGTTCGCCAAAAATACTAGGTTGACGTTGGCTAAAACTACTAGGTAGAAGTACGCACAAATACTAGGTAGACGTTAGCTAAAATACTAGGTAGAACTTAGCTAAAAATAAAAAATCGAAGTTAGCAAAAATACTAGGTAGAAGTTAGCTAACTTCTACCTAGTATTTTTAGCTAACTTCAACCTAGTATTTTTGCTAACTTCGATTTTTTATTTTTAGCTAAGTTCTACCTAGTATTTTAGCTAACGTCTACCTAGTATTTGTGCGTACTTCTACCTAGTAGTTTTAGCCAACGTCAACCTAGTATTTTTGGCGAACTTCTACGTAGTATTTTTGCTTACTTCTACCTAGTATTTTTGCTAACTTCTACCTAGTATTTTGTCTTCTTTCATTTTTGACTTTTTTTTCTTATTTTCAAACCAACTTAAGCATTTTAATAAATAATAATAATAAAATAAAGGGCCACAGATGGGAACTTTTCCAACCACGATCAGCCCCTGAAGCCAGGAGTTTAACACCACTGCTTTAAACACTAGAACAACACAATAAGAAAGGGGAGAATACACAGTTCCTTGTACACCAAGTCTTTGAGATAGAATATAATTTCACAAATGTAAATGATTTAAAATAAGCCATTATACAACAAACAAACAAACAAAGAAGGAATAACTCAAACGTGTCAAGGCCAAAGTCTTTCAGTAGAATTCTTTATTGAATCAAGTGATGGAAGTGAAATCCCCCGATTATGAAAATAAATAAATCATTTTCTTTTCTTTCTACGTCAGCGCAGCTTCAAACCAGGAGATTTAGACTTTGTTTGTATTTATCCGTTTATTCATTCATTTGTTTATTCATTTGTTTTTGTGGCGACAGACAGAGTTCATTCAGATGACAGACAGGAAAACTCAATAAAATCAGGAGACACTCTGCTTTGGCACAGGGTAAAAGCTGCGATAGAAGAGAGCCCGGAAACTAAGGAGATAAATTAATGGTGAGCAGTGCATTCAGTTGTATTGTTTTTAATTCTCCCTTTTCCACCAGCAAACGTCTAAATGTGTGTCTTAATCGACTAAAATAAAAACCCGGAAAAAAAGGAGATGCTAAACCTTAAAAAGAAAAAAAAAAAAAGTACACCGTTTTTCCCGAGCTAGCTCCACTCCAAGGAGTTTTTAAATATTTGCCGTCGCCGGGAATAGTGAAGCAGGTGACGGTGGTTTCTGGGTCGAGGAGTGGATTCAAAGTTAAGAAGCAGTGATGACGAATATGAGGAAGAAAAAATAAAAAAATAAAAAAGTTTTCTGGACCATCTGTTATAAACCCTGACCTGCTGTGCTAAATGGAGATGAGAGGGGGCGCTGTTGAGAAGTCAAATTTCATGTTCAGGAACTCCGCTAAATTGTGACCTCAGATAAAAATAATCTCTCACCCTACCTCCCCCTCACACCACTTTGTTGCTCGCTCACTCTACTCAATCACTGATGGGAGTTCTCCACCAGATGTCGCTGTTTAAAAAAAACCAAATAAATAAAAAAAAAAAACCACCCTGCAGCCAAATCAGTTCATACCAGGGGGTCTACAACCTGTGGCTCGGGGGCCAAAATTGGGTCACTGGTCTCTTCATGGTGGACCACAGTGAGCCTGACTGATACATAATTTACTCCGATATTTTTTATCATATATATATATCAGTGAAAATGAGGAGAGAAAAAAAAACTCTGACACGATACAGTTTGTACTACTGCAGTACATCCTGCAGTAGAAGTAAAATCGACCGGATGCTGCCCCCTGTGAAGTTTAATAGTATCAGTGTAGTGTTTGTGTGTGATTTACACTCAACGTTTTGCGTTTTACTTCGTACTCCGTTTCGTTTGAAGTATTTTGCTGAGTACTACACAGAGTGTATTTGTTTTCTGAGGTCGTAATTTTTTTAATTTATTTTATTTTTTTTTTACTGAGTGGTTTGAGAATATGGTCGTGTTTGAGTAAAAACTGGGATCCAGAGGTCAGGAGTCACAGGTGGGACAGATGAAGGGAAGAGGGGGGAGGGGAGGGGTTAAAGGTCACAGGTTTTTTTTTTACTGTTGATCCTTGAATGCGTCCAGGTCGAAGGCAGTGTCCAGGAAACGCCGCAGCTCCATCAGGTGAGTGTTTTTGTTTCCTGTGGCAGGGGCTGCGGCTGGCTCTCTGCCGGCGTACCTGGGGGGGAGGAAAGGGGTGAGGAGAGCGGGAGATAGAGAGAGAGAGATAGAGATAATTAAAAAAAAAAAATACAAATACAACCTTCCATGTGTCCAGGACTGTGCTGACCCGCTATCGACCCCGTTGAGCCACAGTGCTCATATCTCACACAACTTCTATCTTGTATTTTTGACTAACTTCTACCTAGTATTTTTAGCTAAGCTAAACCTAGTATTTTTGCTAACCTCTATCTAGTATTTTTGCTAACCTCTACCTAGTATTTTTAGCCAACTTCTACCTAGTATTTTTAGCTAACCTCTAGTATTTTTTGCTAACTTCTACCTAGTATTTTTAGCCAACTTCTACCTAGTATTTTTAGCTAACCTCTAGTATTTTTTGCTAACTTCTACCTAGTATTTTTGCTAACCTCTACCTAGTAGTTTTAGCTAACGTCTACCTAGTATTTTTGACTAAGTTCTACCTAGTATTTTTGTTAACTTCTATTTAGTATGTTTACTAACTGGTATTTAGTATGTTAGCTAACTTCTACCTCGTATTTTTTACTAACTTCTAACTAGTATTTTTTACTAACTTCTATCATTTTTGACTAACTTTTTTTTTTTTTAAACCAACTGAAGCATTTTATTAATAATTAAAAAGGCCACAGGTGGGAACTTTTCCAACGATCAGCCCCTGACCCAGGAGTTTAACACCACTGCTTTAAATACTAGAACAACACAATAAGAAAGGGGAGAATACACAGTTCCTTGTACACCAAGTCTTTGAGAAAGAATATAATTTCACAAATGTGACTTGTTGTGTGACACTTCCATGTGTCCAGGACTGTGTTGACCCGCTATCGACCCCGCTGCCGACCCCGCTGAGCCACAGCGCTCATCTATATCTCAGACAACATTTGAACATTTCTTGTTTTTTACCAGACAGGTTTGGCCCTCTGGATGGTGGTTCTGATCCGGGGCTTCACGTAGTCGTAGTATCCCTGGTTCTTGTGCTCCTCCTGACACCAGACCAAGTCGGCGTTGGCGTAACGCTCCGACTCAGCCCTCACCTGGTCAAATGGGAACGGAGACAGCTGCGGGCGAGAGGAGGGAGAGAGAGAGAGAGAGAGAGAGAGAGAGACAGAATTGTCAAAAAAAAAAACAAAACAAAAAAAAACGAAAATGTCCGCGAACGACGGGTGAGAACCTGACGCAGTACCTGCTCTATGCGTGAGATGGCGACGTCTCCGTCCATCCCTTTGCTCTTCCTCTCCTTGGTCAGCTCGTAGTAAACCTTCCCCGTGCAGAAGATCACCCTCTTCACCTCCTCGGGACGCTCCGACGCCGGGCCGTTGTCGGGGATCAACCTCTGGAAGTGAGTTCCAGGGAGCATCTCGTCAAAGTTGGACCTGGCCTCCGGGTGGCGCAGCAGAGACTTTGGAGTGAAGACGATTAGCTGCAGGGCAGATGGAGAGCGAGAGAGGGAGAGAGAGAGTTACGGACACAGTCTACAAGAAGTAGTGGGAGGAAGAACGGGATCTGGAGAGGGGTCAGGGGTCTTTCTTTGCTGTAGATTCACACTTTGCAATAAAAAAAGTATTATTTGCTAACATCTAACTAATATTTTCTGCTAACTTCTACCTAGTAGTTTTGCTAACTTCTACCTAGTATTATTTGCTAACATCTACCTAGTATTATTTTTGCTAACTTCTAACTAAATATTTTTTGCTAACTTCTACCTAGTAGTTTTGCTAACTTCTACCTAGTATTATTTGCTAACATCTACCTTGTATTTTATGCTAACTAGTTTTTTTGCTAACTTCTATCTAGTATTTTTTGCTTACTTCTACATAGTATTTTATGCTAACTAGTATTGTTGATTACTTGTATTTAATATTTTTGGCTAACTTCTACATAGTATTTTATGCTAAATAGTATTTTTGATTACTTGTATTTAGTATTTTAGACTAACTTCTACCGTTTTTTTTGCTAACTTCTACCTAGTATTTTTGCTCACTTCAATCTAGTATTTTTGCTAACTTCTAACTAATATTTTTTGCTAACTTCTACCTAGTATTATTTGCTAACATCTGCCTAGTATTTTTAGCTAACCTCTACCTAGTATTTTTCCTAACTTCTACCTGGTTTTTTGCTAACTTTTATCTAGTATTTTTTGCTTACTTCTACATAGTATTTTATGCTAACTAGTATTATTGATTACTTGTATTTAATATTTTTGGCTAACTTCTACATAGTATTTTATGCTAAATAGTATTTTTGATTACTTGTATTTAGTATTTTAGACTAACTTCTACCGTTTTTTTTGCTAACTTCTACCTAGTAGTTTTGCTAACTTCTACCTGGTATTATTTGCTAACATCTACCTAGTATTTTTAGCTAACCTCTACCTAGTATTTTTCCTAACTTCTACCTGGTTTTTTGCTAACTTTTATCTAGTATTTTTTGCTTACTTCTACATAGTATTTTATGCTAAATAGTATTTTTGATTACTTGTATTTAGTATTTTAGACTAACTTCTACCGTTTTTTTTGCTAACTTCTACCTAGTATTTTATGCTAACTTGTATTTAGTATTTTTGACTAACAACAAGGTCATGTGACGAGTGTGTTTGTGTGTTAGACTCACTGGCTTCCTGAAGGGCAGGAGGATCTGTCGTCTGAGGACGTGGAAGTAATTTCCTGGAGAGGCACAGTTCACTACGATCCAGTTACAGTCGTAGAGCTGACGAACGGCGAAGTCGTCTGTAATGTTCTGGACGGACAAGAAAAAAAAAAACCAAAAAAAAAAAAACAGTTATACTTTACTCTGATAAACCAACACTTCAGCTGAATGACAAATGACACCAGGAACAGAGTTAATGAGCCAGTGACTAATCCTTTCAAAATAAACGTCTGTATAAACTACTTTATTTACCCAACTATTTATCTCATATCTATTTCTCAGGAAACGTCTTAGGATTTATGGCTAACTTCTAACTTTTCTCAGCTATTTTCTATTTTGTATTTTCAGCTAATGTCTACCTAGTATTTTGCTAACTTTTATTTAGTATTTTTAGCTAACTTCCTCCTTTAATTTTTTGCTAACTTCTACCTAGTACCTTTGTTAACTTCTACCTAGTATATTTGCTAACTTCTACCTAGTATTTCTTGCTAACTTCTACCTAGTTTTTTAGCTCACTTTTACCTGGTATTTTTTGCCAGCTTCTACCTAGCATTTTTTTGCTAACCTCTACCTAGTATTTTTTGCTAACTTCTACCTAGTTTTTTAGCTAACTTTTACCTGGTATTTTTTGCCAGCTTCTACCTAGCATTTTTTAGCTAACTTCTACCTAGCATTTTTTGCTAACTCTAACTTCTACCTAGCATTAGTTTTTTTGCTAACCTCTACCTAGTATTTTTTGCTAACTTCTACCTAGCATTTTTTTGCTAACCTCTACCTAGTATTTTTTGCTAACTTCAAATCCTCAGGTGTGTGTGTGTGCGCGTGTGTGTTTCTCACAGGCATCACATCTGGATCATCATTACACATCTGGAGGAATCTCTCTGGCCGAGCCGAAGAATGTTCTGGACCCTGGAATCACAGAGTTCAGGTGGGTTCAGTGAAGACACAGGACGAGACTGTGTGGGGGTGTGTGTGTGTGTGTGTGTGTGTGTGTTACTCACCATGCCCTCCAGTCCGTGTGGCAGCAGCAGCACGATGCCATTCTGTCTGACCCACTTGGCCTGACCGGCACAGATGAACTGGTCGATGATGCACTGGGCCGTGTTGTGGAAGTCGCCGAACTGCGCCTCCCACAGGATCAGAGCGTTAGGACTGGCCATGGCGAAGCCCAGCTCAAAGCCTGGAGAGACAGGAAGTAGGAAAGAAGAAGAAAAAAAAAGTGCTTTAATTTTTTATTTAATGTTTGATTTAAAATTTTAATATTTATATTTTTATATTTAAAGAGTTTCAATCCACTAATGAAACATAAATGAACACTTTTTTGTACCAAGGAACGGTCGGCTGGTACCGATCTTTACTAGGAACCAGTTGTTGAATTATCATTACGGATAATTGACCTTTCAAAATAAAATATTTTTTAGACTTCTGTTAGTATTGCAGTCTCTATTTTTGCTAACTTCTAACTAATATTTTTAGCTAACTTCTACCTAGTATTTCATGCTAACTAGTATTTTTGCTAACTTATACCTAGTATTTTGCTAGCTTCTACCTGTTTTTTTGCTAACTTCTATCCAGTATTTTTTGCTTGCTTCTACATAGTATTTTATGCTTACTAGTATTTTTGATTACTTGTATTTAGTATTTTTTAGACTTCTGTTCGTATTTCAGTCTCAAAGACCTTGAAAAAAAAAATTGTGCCCCAGTGCGGCCTGGTAATAAATTATGTACCGACCGGTAGCGGTCCGCAGACCGGAGGTTGGTGATCCCCGACCTGTACGAAGTTAGAGAAGATAACTCCATTTTGTTGAGTTTAAAGTTAGCCTAAAATAATTGGAACTATCTCATCCACAGAACACTTCCAGGGACCTGGGATTCAAACCAGCAGCCCTGGACGGCGACTCACCCAGGACGCCGTACTCTGACAGCGAGCTGTTGCAGACGGTGTACGGTGCCTGGTCAGGAGAGAGGTGGTTCATGGGAATACAGATCCTCTTGTCCACGTTCTGGTCATGGAGGACGTGATGCCGGTGGCTGAAAACAGACGATCATCATCAGTGGAACAAGCGGACGGTGTCGTTGAGTTTTCACCGCGAAGTCTAAGACGGATTACCTAAACGTCCCTCGCTCCACGTCCTGTCCCGATAGCCGGATGTGAGTTCCTTCTTTCAGCAGCGATCCGAAGGCCATGTACTCGGCCAACGCCCAGTCCACCGTGCGGTTCTCGATCATCTTGCCTCGGCCTTTCAAGATGCGACTGAGACCTGGAAGTGTGAGACAACGAAAAGTTGGGACGTGATGAGGCATTTGTCTCCCCGAGGACTTCCGAGTCTCAAGGACTCAAACCTGGGACTGACCTCCGTGGATGGTGAAGTCCTCCACGGGGACAGAAGAGGCAATCTGTCCGATGTGGTTCAGGTTTTCTTCAGTCAGACCTGTGGAGGGGCAGCTCATGGACTTGGGCTGTCCATCCAGGGTGAAAAAACCTGGGAAAAAAAAAAAAAAAAAAAAAAAGGGACGTCCATAAAACACAAAGACAAAAGTCTACAGATTATGTCAGCGCTAAGGGACCCAAGACCACCAAGGCCTAATTTGGACCAGGGACCACCACCAGAGCCCTGATTTGGACCAGGGACCTAGAGAGCCCTAATTTAGACCTCAGACCACTACCAGAGCCTTGATTTGGACCTGGGACCATCAAGGCCTAATTTTGACCAGGGACCACCACCAGAGCCTTGATTTGGACCAGGGACCACCAGAGCCTTGATTTGGACCTGAGACCTCCAGAGCCCTGATTTGGACCAGGGACCACCACCAGAGCCCTAATTTGGACCCCAGACCACCACCAGAGCCCTACCCCAGACCACCAGAGCCTTGATTTGGACCCCAGACCACCAGAGCCTTGATTTGGACCCCAGACCACCAGAGCCTTGATTTGGACCCCAGACCATCATTCATTCAACAGCTTCATTTTTCTCACCGGGCCACGGTGAATCCAGCCAGTGCTTGATGTGGAGGATTTTCTCGTCTTTGGAGCGAGTGTACGCCTCCTCGCAAATCTTATCGTACTTGGCAATCTCCTCCTACGGGCAGCGAAAAACAACACATGGACAAATATAAACAAACAAGTATATAAAAAAATAAAAGACAGCAGTGAAAAGTCAAATCTGAGAATTTACTGCATTTACAGTGATGTCCAAACTAAGGGGCGGGCCCCATTCTGAGTGCAAATATTTTTGACTAATGGTCACTGAGCTTAATATGTATGATTGGTTTTATGATTCTGCAATATTTATTTCTTTTATTTAAAAAAAAGAACGATGTCGTCGGCGTAACATTTGATTTTGTTTTTACCTCGTACTCCTGTCGGCTAACGGCGCCCTCTGCGATGAGCTTCTCTGCGTATTTCTGCAGCACCGGTTTCTGCTTCTTGATCTGCTTGTACATCAGGGGCTGCGTGAACATGGGCTCGTCCATTTCGTTGTGACCCATTCGGCGGTAGCACACCTGTACGCAAAGTAAATCTCAACGTTGTCACCTCTCCACGTTAAACGGAGCAAATCTACGTCCGACAGATTAAACACAACCGACCAGGTCGACCACCACGTCTTTGTGGAACGTGGCTCTCCACTCGGCGGCCACCTTGCAGACGTAGATCACCGCCTCGGGGTCGTCAGCGTTGACGTGGAAGATGGGAGCGTTGACAACTCGGGCCACGTCCGTGGGGTACGGGGAGGAGCGGGCCATACGGGGGTCGGTGGTGAAACCGATCTGTAGGTTGCGACAACGATGTCAAAGCGCATACAGGCGAACGAACGTTCACCGAGCGTGAGCGTTTCCCCGTTCGTACCTGGTTGTTGACGACGACGTGCACGGTGCCGTGCGTGGTGTAGGACGGCAGATCGGACAAGTGGAAGGTCTCGTAGACGATGCCCTGACCGGCAAATGCGGCGTCTCCGTGAAGAAGGATTGACATCACCTGGACAGACAAACACGTGTACATTATTGAATGCGAAAGTGACATCATCACATGACCTGAGGAGAGGGGAAAAGGGAGTGGGGGAGTGGGTGACGGGGTTACATAACGTATAGTGCAGAGGTGTCTCACCCGTTTCCCGTCATTGTCCGCGCAGTAGAACTGCTCCGCCTTGGTTTTCCCCTGGACCACGGGGTCGACCGCCTCCAGGTGAGAGGGGTTGGCCACCAGTGAGAGAGAGATGTTCCGGTCCGTGACGCGGTTGATGCGACGGTGATACATTCCCAGATGATACTTCACATCGCCAGAGCCCTGCAGAGGAAGCGCCACCGTGTGTCAAAAAACGGTACTACATGGAAACACAGCTTCTTATGGTGCCTCGCAAATAACAACGAAGATTTTCAAATATCGCTATGCGACGCTGTCATATTGTATAAGAATTTAAAAGTATCTAAAACCTTCCGCGGTTCTTTGATTTCTTGCACCGACGGGACACTGATAAAACTCCAGCCCAGTAGGGGCCAGTAACGTGCTTACATATTTGTTTTTGCCTGGCCATAAGATGCTAGGATTCATTAAATAACATCAGTACATCAGCGTGATCTCCGTGTTTCTTCACTGTTTCGACCCAATACAATAACAATAGCAACAACTGTTGCTTTTATTCCAGTATTGATCAGCGTCACTGTGTCAACATGTTGCTCTATAATAAAGTTAAAGAACAACAACAGTAGGCGACTGACCTCATCGGTTGCCTCCAGTTTGGAGTCAAATTGACAGAAGATCTGCTCCAACTCTTTCCGGATCACGTTTGCCAAAACATTGAGGCGACCCCTGGTGGACAGAGACAAACACAGCAAGGTCACGGACTTTCAGTCAAAAAAAAAATCAAACCAGGGTTAATGAAGATGAAAGTGAAAAAAAAGTGTGGAACCTGTGAGGCATTCCCATGATGACGTTCTCCACTCCGTTCTCAGAGGATTTATCAATGATGGTTTTCAGAGCAGGGATCAGGGACTCGCATCCCTCCAGACCAAAACGCTTCTCTGCCGACCACTTCTTCTGCAGGAACTCTTCAAACCTGAGATAAGTGTAGATATTTTTGTTTGTGTTGTGAAAGTGCGGTGAGGAACTCGGGGTTCTGCGTCCTTAGCTCACACACCTGGTGGACCTGACCATGCGGGCCAGCAGCGTCCTCTTCTCCTCCAGAGTGAACTGCATCACTCCCGGAGTCTCAAACTTCTGTCTGATCCACTGACACTGCTCCAGGTCGTTGATGAACATGAACTCAACGCCGATGTGCTGACAGTACGCCATCTGAACACAGCGCCACGTGATGGTGACAGAGTGACACGGCAGTGATTAAAAAAAGAAAAGAAAAAGAAAACCTTACACAAACACACACACACATATATATATATATATATATACACATACAAATATATACATACACATATATAATATATATAATATATATACACATATGTAAGTATATATGCATGTATATACACACATGTATATACAGTACATTTATGTACATATATACACACATATATGTATGTATGTAAATATATATATACACACACACGTATATACACATACATACATGTATATATACACATACATACACGTATATATATACATACATATATTTATACATACATATATATACATACATACATATACATACATGTATGTATATACATACATATACACATACATATGCATATACACACACATACACTTATGTATATATATGCACATATATACATATTTACACATGCATATATAGACATGTATACACACACAAACCAATATCTATATATATACATACATATATTTATACATACATATATATACATACATACATATACATACATGTATGTATATACATACATATACACATACATATGCATATACACACACATACACTTATGTATATATATGCACATATATACATATTTACACATGCATATATAGACATGTATACACACACAAACCAATATCTATATATATACATACATATATAAATACATAAATATATATATATACATATTTTGTATTTTATATAGTATATACACACTTTATGATGATTAACTGGTTAATCTGCAGCCACCCTGATTGATGAGATTATAAATGTATATACAATCACACAGGCACATATACATATACATATACATATACTGCATATACTGCATCTTTCATTCACCTCCAGGCGGCGAATGATCTCCTTCAGCGGGAGGGCGCTCTCTGAGCCTCCAATGAAGGTGGTCGTGGGCAGACGAAACACCTTGTCCAGATCAGACTCGACCAGACCGTAGAAGCCTGTGGATCCCATCAAGCACCACGGGAGAAGAAGAGTGAGGGGCAGGGGGGTATTAAAAAGGGAGAGGGGGGGTTAACAGAGGCAGGACAGGTGTATAAGGATGATCAGGTTAGAAGTGTTGGCAGACAAACAGCATTCACATGTGAGGAGTGAGGAGTGAGGGACACAGATTAACCTCAGTGTAAAAATACACCAGCAACAGAGTTAGTGACGACTGTTTAAAGAGTGATGGCGCTGTTCTGAGACAGACGGATGGTTAAGAAAGGAGACCAAGGACTCAGGCTCAGCACTGTAGCATTTTGGGGTTTTTTTTTAAGTCCAAAGTGTTGCACGCGTTAGGCTAAAAACCTGACTTTTATTGTGAAAAGCAACTACTAAGTTAGCAAGTATCTAACAAATAACAAGCATGTTCAGTAGTCTTCATTTCTTATTGAGAAGAAGAAAAAACAGCAATTTTGTAGGAACTCTGTATTATTGTGTTTTGAATAGATTTAAAAAGGGGGGGGTCATAGAGGGGTCTTTGGGCTGGACACAGATCAGGAGGTTAAATTATGAGCTATGTGATGATTTCGCTGAACCCTGGTCTCCTGGGGGATCGAACACACATGAGCAGGATGGTCCTGATCTTTTTTTTTTTTTTTTTCACTCACAAAATCACCTTTATCTCACCCACAAAGAGAGAGAGAGACAGAGAGAGAGAGAGAGAGAGAGAGAGAGAGGGGGAGAGAGAGTGTGGAAGTGCCAGGGCATCTGTGTGATCATGACAGCAGCAGATAGCAGCGATGGAGAATTTTTGTAGTATCAAAAATTTGTAAATGGTATTCCGAGAAGAGGGGATACAAAAAAATATACAAAAAAAAGTACTACAGTAGAATTATTTTCTTCAGATGTACTTTAAAAAATTGCACCTTCAAGAAAGCTTAATCCAAAAATAGTTAGAAAACTGGACAAAGTCGTTTTTTCGAAGACATTTTGCCTCTTCGTCCTTCTTCAGGTCTGTGTTAGGTCTGTGGTATAAAAACAAACAAAGTTTTCACCTTTCCACCAGCCTCCCTAATGTGAAGTGTTAAATATAAATCATGATCCGTCGACGTGGTCTGTCGCTCATCTCACCCCAGCCCATCAATTACTCACTGACTTCCCCTCTGACTCTGACTTTAATGCCCTGCTGCCAACACACAAATCCCCTCATGTTTCTGCACAGTACTCCTCAGAGAGCCCAGATTGATAAACAACAAATGCAACCAATCAGAGAGTGTCTTCAGTTACCATCTACCCACCACAGGGATACTCTGATTGGCTACTCCGTCATAGTTCTTCTCCAGCGAAGAGAGCAGCGAGAGTCCAACAGCTGGGTTTTTAAACCATGTCTCCTGTCTACCGCGTTGTTTCCCAAAGCCTGGGTTGCGACCCTCTGGTGGGTCGCAAGAGTTTTTCTTGGGGGGTCGTATCGCATCACGTTTACCAAGAGTTTACGAATAATGTCAATTGACTTGGAAGGTTTGTGATTTTTTTTAAAAATATGGGTCCCCCAGAAAAAAAAAAAAGGGAAACACTGGTCACAGAATGACAGACGACCCCTCCCCCCGGTCACCCGCCTCACACTGACAGGGAATGCAATCAAACCAAAACATTGCACTTAAAGCTACAGACACCCCCCCTCCGTTCTTTACTTATGGAAGTCCGCACATGCTAAATCTAGTCAGGACTACAGCATGGAAGCAAAAGCAACACAGAGAGGAAGCGCGAGAGTTCGAAGGGGCAACTGACCAAGTCTTAGACCACGCCCACATACACGCTCCTGCCCCACAGACTGGTCTGGCATGTGTACTCTGTAGGAACCTCGATGGTCTGGGAGCTCAACCGGTCAGAAACCTCCAGGAGTCGCTACTTCTGTTCATTGCTAACAACGCTATTACAGGCTAACTACAGGGTTTCGCAGCACTGTGCAGCGGTACAACAGCAGCGGTAGCGGTAGCAGCACATCTCCGTTTGCTTCTCATACCTCCGACCGTGAGCACATTCAGTCTCTCCTTGAAACCCGCCAAGTCTTGAGGTGTCGACAGCAGGGGAGCAGAGGAAAAGAGAAACCTACACACCATTAATGATCTGAGACCAAACTCTACGTAAGGTACAAGTCCAGATGACACCATCAGCCCATACACAGTGGGGGGAGAGGAGGGGGGTGACGGGGGAGGTGGGGTCAGGGGGTGGGCGGAGCCCTAGCATCTCCACATCTCCACCACTTGTTGAATGTTAAGAAAAAAAGTACAAGATTTGGCATCAAGTGGTGAAGGGAGACGGGTGCAGCTACCGGCATGCTAACGTTATCGACAATCCAGATCCACAACCAAGGAGCTTCTCACAATCTGAAAGCCATTCCAGACAAGTCACCTCTCTCTACAGCACGGCTCAGTATAACAGGGCAGTCCCATCTGATGCAATGCAAAATGTAATTTTTCTGGTAGCAGCAGCTGGGCAGGTGATGCTTATTGGCCAAATACACACACATCATCTGCAAATGTGTTAACTTTAAAGCATTTTCTTCAGAGGCTCTGGTGAAAACATCTAAAAGTTTATGTGAAGAAAATCCACGATAAAAAAATTCAAGATTCATGCAAATTTCTAGATGTAGAACGACTAGGGAACCACACTTTTTTTGTCAAAGTGCGTTAAGATACACCGACACAAGAATGAACAAATGTTCAAATTTAACCTGCTCTACGACACAAATAAACTGAAATACACAGATTGTAAAAATAAAAATAAATAAATAAATAAATAAATAATCCTTGTGCGGATCACGGGTTCACACGGGAGCTAACGACCCCACAGAAAATGACTGACCTGGTCCCCTAACCACAGCTTGTTCTCTCTCACCCTGTGTTTCAGTAGCATTCAGCCCAAAGACGCCTGATTCACACAGAATCGCAGCAAACATAAAAAAAACACACAAAAAAAACTCGCGTAACATTCTGCAAGCATCAGTGAAGCGGTTCACTACAGCTAGCAGATGATTAGCAAACAGCCCGTAGCATCTGAAATGATCACACCAACTCTATGGACAGCATCTCATCAGCCCCAAGAGCTGGGCCTCAGATTTACGTTCAAATCTAGTCACACACTTCAACGTTCAGGGCCAAACCACGACAAACAAGGCACCAATGGAAGATTTAGTCCCACAAAGTGGTTCAAACTTGGTCCTGTTGTATTTTTTTTTAAATTAAACCGCACTATTTCACCTTGGGTTTTCGATGTTCCGAGACAGACTGACAGACACCTGGACCGACTTAGGTTTCTGGAGGACATTTCACCTCTCACTCGAGAGGCGTCTTCACCACCTGGTACCTGGTTCAGACTCCTGGTATTTAGCCGCAGAGGCCTGAATACCTGAATGAGGACTTTGTATGATAAATAATGACGGTCGTCCCACTACCCTGACACTGACGCAGGAAGTTGGTTTCACCCGCGTCGAGGCACGAGTTGGGGGTTGTTAGGACCACCTGGGGGCGTCGTCACGAAACCAAAGCCAGTCCAGTGGACTTCTTCCAAATTATAAACAACCTTTGTTCCTATGTGACTGCAACTGTGGCCGCAGGTTGTGAGCGTTACAGCAAGATGTGCTACTTTGTCTAGATGTAAACACCAATATATATATCTAAATATATACTGTGTATACATATATATATATATATATATATATGCATACATGCACAAATGTGTATATACGTATATATACATATACATACTGTATATAAATATATATACATATATAAATATATACATAGATATATTTATATATACATGCATATATAAATATATACATAGATATATTTATATATACATGCATATATAAATATATACACATATATAAATACATATATACATATAAATATATATACATATATAAATATATACACATATATAAATACATATAAATATATGAGATCTAGATCTAGATGAGGACTTTTATACCTTTTGTGGGACTTAATGGTCTCAGCGCCACAGACACAAACTATGCTGGTTCGATTCTACACATTCACTTGTGTTGAGAATGAGTAGAAACCGCACCAGACTGAGCTTTAAAATTCACAACACTCAAAACTCCAAACCAAATCCTTATACTGTGATAACCAAATAACGGACATCATAAAGGACTTTTGTCCTTTTATAGGAAAACAACAGTTCAAGTTGTATCATTTCTAAAAAAAAAAAAAAATTAAAAATTCAAAAATGTAGGAGCAAACAAATCAATAATGTAAATCGCACCAGCAAGTTTTCTAAAACTCAAAAAAAAAAAAAAAAAAAAAAATAGAGCTACAATACAAAGTTAACGAAAAAATACTACGTGTCCCCTGAAGCCTTAGAAAAATTCAGACTGCCAGGCAGACTGGAGCAGGGAAACCACGGGGGGGGGAGAAAATGGACGACGACGACTGTTTTCTGAGGGGTTAGCGCCTCACCCAGCTTGTCGGAGGAAGTGATTATGTCAGTGGGAACACAAGAATCCAGATCGGCGTCCATGATGCCTAGGGGGTCCAACTGGGCCACTTGGTGACCTCGGATCTACAGGGGAGTGACAAAAGTAGAGAGCCCACCCAGAAAAGGAGGAGGAGGAAGAGGAAGCACAGTGCAACAAAATAAGGCAGGACGAGGACCGGAAAGTATGGAGAGGCGGACGCAAGATAAGCAAGGGGGGGATTTAAAAAAAAAAAAAAAAAAACAAAGGAGGCAGGAGCGTCGGACATGAGCGAGGCAGGAGCAAAAATGAGGGGCGGGGACCAGAGGAAGATGATTACACAGAGAGGAGAGCAGAGGAGAGCAGAGGAGAGGAGAGGAAAGATAGAGGGTGGGAGGGAGGAAGAGCAACATTAACACCACAGGCCTGGATTATTTGTAAGTTTGTCGTTCTCACCAACATCCTGGAAACCAGTATTGACTGGAGCATCATCAAAATTCACACAGCTGATTCCCAGAGGATCCAAACGGGCATTATGATGCCCCATCACCTACACACAGAAACGCAGACACACATGTGGTTATGACGACACCGATAGCCATTGGTCCCTGAAGGTCGCCGACAGGATGAAGTTTTCCATGTCACCCTTTTTTTCTTATTTGGTAAAAATACTGACATTTTTTAGATGTAAAATGTCCAAAATTGAAAAATTAACACTAATTCTATGGCAATACGAATCATGTATACCATAAATTTACAACGGGAATTTCCAAACTCTGGTCTAGGGACCAATTTTGGGCCATTAGCAGGTTGGTCCCTGGTTTACATGGGTTTTAGTTACAGAAACTACCAGTAGAAAAAAAAATATATATGGGATGGTATATTTTTATTGAAATAATAGACTTTCTTTTTTGCTGTGTCATCGTACATGACTTAAGGAAATTGTGTAAAGTATAAATACGATAAAACATTTTTTTTTAAATATATAAAAAGTTATTTTTTGTTTGAAAAACGTAACAATTTTTTGTATAAAAAAACAACATGTTTTTGTGGTTTTTAAGCTACAGTGCTAGTGTTGGTACTTGGGCTCCCTCTAGTGGTATGTGGAGGAACCTGTAGTTGTAGGTTGGTCGAAGTGGTCGAAGTTGGTCGAAGGTTGTATTCGGTGTAGAACGTACGAGAACCAGGTGTGATTTGTCTTCAGGTTGTGTGCACTACATATTCACACAAAGTCAATATATTTGACCATATATGGCCAATATAGTTTTTAATTACACCTACCTACTCATTAGAACGGTGTCACTGGGAATCATTTAGACAAACGACTAAATGTAAACGTAGAAGTAAATAAATGACCAGAGTTAAATCTGTAAAATAAACAAACAAACAAACAAGTTAAACGGTGTCATTTTTCAAACCGATCTGATTCTGTGCTCCATTAAAAACCAGACACATTCCTGCAGGGGAAGAAAGCGAGTCAAACGTGTCACATGTAATGAAATACCAGACTGAAAACTGAACTGTGGCAGCAGAACATTCCATTCGAACAAATGTTCTTAACAGCGCTGTAATTAAGTTAATAAAAAAAAATTACACCTGATTTGATCTGACACTAATCCAAGTGATGGAATTATTTAAAAAAAAAAAGAAAAAATAATTAGCATCATGAATCAAGTGTCGATGGGAGCATGATCAATTTTGATACAAATAATATAATAATATATATATGAAGTAAATTAGTGAAACTGAAGTACTTTTTTTATTTTATATATATATAAAATTTACTTCATATATATATATAATTTACTATTACTACATATATTATATATAGATATTATATAATTAATTATATCTTTTAATATATTATTATATTATTATTATTATATTAATATATTAATTATATCTATATATAATATATGTAGTAAATTATATATAGATATAATTAATATATTAATATAATAATAATAATATAATAATATATTAAAAGATATAATTAATTATATATAGATATTATATAATTAATTATATAATATCTATATATAATTAATTATATAATATCTATATATAATTAATTATATAATATCTATATATAATTTACTACATATATTATATATAGATATATATATAAAATAAATTAATTAAAAAAAGTACTTCAGTTTCACTAATTTACTTGATTGCAAAAAAAAAACCAGTCATATCCCTTTACTGTTTACATTCAAAGATCATCAGTCAATGTTTCAAAACAACAGGTCAAAGGTCATTCAGACTCAGCTACTAACAGAAGAAAGTCTGGAAGGTGCTTTATTTTGAAAATGTAATGCTCCTTTAACGATGGTGCGATATTAGTAACGGCTGGTACTAGCCGACCGCTCCATGGTACAAAAAGGTCGGTGACCTCTGCTTCAGATGATACAACTCCTACTTGGTCCGACTACCCAGTGAGCAACTCTTTAATAAAAGCCCCCCAGACCATTTGAACAGCGCTAACAGGGCAGAATATGCTGCCCTGATTTGTGCTTGAGAGAATTTGGTCTGACGTTGGCCGGCTAAGCTAAATTGTGAAGCCAGTTTAGTTGGTGGATGATTCCCAACATTCCTTGTGCTACGCTGCACAGGTGTGACGAAGTGTAGTAACAAAGGCTGACAACTGGGTTTAAAATCATACAGTTAACGTCCAAGTTGATTTTTCTTCTGTGGAGTATTTTCTAGTTTAAACACTGCAGTATTTGATCCCTGACATGCAAGATGAAGAGAGCGCCATTTGTTCTGTCTGACTTCGAAAGAAACACTAAACGTACTATTTGATGATTCAAAATGTGTTATTTAAAAGGGCTGTGGCCTTACGATACTATCGCGATATTTTGCCCATGAAAATGATCATACTGCATTACAGCAATTTTGCGATAATTGATATGTTGCAATACATTTCTTCCCGATATCTATGAAAGATATCGGGAAGAAATTTAAGTCACAAAATGAAAGATTACGGTGCTTTATTTTGAAAGCCTTTCGTCAGATTGAATTAGAAAAGCTGGTTACACTTTTGATACAGTATTTTTTTAAAGTATTTTTCGGTACATTTTTGATACAGGTGGGATGCTGCGGCCTTGTGTGCGTTCATACCTGGTACGCCCTGATGAGGGACTGGACGGCCAGGTGATCCTCCACCAGCTTCTCCACATTTGGCTGAGCCCCAACCAGAGAGGTGAGCTGAGGAGCAACGAGGCCCGACGCCGCGGACAGACCCAGAGGAGACTGATACGCAGCACCAGGGGGAGCGCCGGCGTGGGCGTTGCGGAAAAACACATCCCACGACTGGAGAAAGGGGGAAGAATTAATCGATTAATTAATAACAGTAATTTGTGAAAAATTATTTGAGTATTATGTAATTGTACAACTGTTTTTAAGCGGTAAGATACCACGTACATTCAATTTGCATAGAGGATATTTAGTACATGTAAGCATCTCCCATAAACATCAAAAACATCTGACATCCTCTAAACTTAATAATGAATTATGGCTCATGCCCCTTCACATTCCTTAAATAACCTTTACCAGGGGTGCCCAATAGGTAGATTGGGATCTACCAGTAGATTGCAGAGGGAGTGCTGGTAGATCATGAGCAATTAAAATAAAAAAATAAAATATAAATAAAATTCTAAAGCGTGTAGTAGTGATGATATATTGTGAGAATTGAATCATTTGTGCCAAAGAGCTTCATGCATTTAATCAGTAACCGAAAACATAACAAGTTATTTATATGAGTGAATATATATTTAATGTTTTCAGTTTGGGTAGATCGCTTCTGTCTGGTCATTTGAATAGTAGCTCCCATGCCAAAAAAGTGTGGACACCCATGACCTATATTCTCAGGTCATTCTCCTTTTCACCTGTTTGTCATCTTGCCATGGTTGTTATTATTTTTTCGTTCTATTACTGTGAATTTGTTGTGGTAGCGCGCAAGATCTAAAATGTGTGGTTTAATAAAAAAAGTCATTATTATTTATTGGCGTAGCATGTAATGATATTTTTTAAAACACTTTATTGAATAACCTGAGGATATCTGAAGAGGAGAAATTTCATGAGAACAATGCATGAAAATGAAGAAAGGATTCCTGCAACATTTTCCTCTCCAGTACATGGTCCGTGTCACTGCTGCCACATAGGATCAATGTGCTGCAGCTGCTCCTGTGTTGGTGCTGATACCGCCTGCCTCAAAGATGTTAATGTGGCCCTTCAATGATATCTTGTTGAAAAAAGTGCCCAGAGCCAGTTGTCTTTTTTCCCCTCCTCCTCCTTCCCTATCGTTTTTCAGTTGTTTTTCATCTAATATAAGGGTGCGCTGACCACGGGCTGCGTCCTGGCCTTCCTGTACCTGTCCCCCCTTGTCAATTATTTGTATTGTTTTTATTGTCTATTCATGTTTTTTCTTGGAACGGATTGTACAAAACTAAATTTTGTATCACCTTCCCTGGTGCATATGACAATAAAGAGATTCTGACATATGCATACATATACACACATATGCATACACATATATGCATACATACATATATACACATACATATATACACATATATACGCATACATATATACACGCATACATATATACACATATACGCATACATATATGCGTACATATATGCATACATATACATATACACATATATATATAAAACACTTTCTTTGCTCTCATTGAAGGCAGACTTAAACGAATTTCCCTGGTATCATTTAAAATGTCACAGTGATGAGTCAGTCAAACTACTAAAGGACCACAAAATACACATATGCATACATATATACACACATATGCATACATATATATACACACACATATGCATACATATATACACACACATATGCATACATTCATACACATATATAAATATACACACATATGCATACACATATACAGATATTTATATATACATATATGCATACATATATACACACATATGCATACATACATACACACAAATACATAGATACACATACATATATACACATATATACGCATACATACATATATGCGTACATATATGCATACATATAGATATACACATATATATAAAACACTTTCTTTGCTCTCATTGAAGGCCGACTTAAACAAATTTCCCTGGTATCATTTAAAATGTCACAGTGACGGGTCAGTCAAACCACTGAAGGACCACGTACACAAAATACTCTGACAAATAAACACGTTCCATGACTCAGCAGCGCCGAAGTCTACTTTACTGGAAATGTGTAGACTGTAGTACTATCACTGCTGGGACACACAGTGAACAGAGCGTGTGTGTGTGTCCAGTCCTTCTCCGCGGCCCATAGATTCTTTGCCAGGCTAATAAAGTCAAGGTCACAGTGTTATCATTATATAACCAGTGTGAACTAGAACATCTTCAAGACCTAGTACAGTACTAGCACATGCATCAACATATGCAGTACAGTATCTAGTACATAACGTTCTGAGTGAAAAAAAAAAGTATTTGATTTTTTTTTTGCAAAAAAAATTTAGTAGGATTTGAAACGCGACAAAAACCGTCAATCAAAATCAATCAATCATCAAAATAAATATCAATCAAAATATTTAATTGTTTTATATATTTGAATTTATTATTTGAAATTATTATTTTCTCAGAAGGTCTTGGGTGATTGGATGTGTTTGGGGGAAAAAGTAAAAACCTCATACAGTCTCATATATAGACATATTGATACTGAAAGTAAAAAGAACAAAACAATACTCTCCCTTTGATAACTCTGGTGGACACATTTCAGAAGTGCAGAAGTAAAAGTAGAACTCAAATTCTACCAAAAACACAAAGTAACTATGAACGTTTTTCATAGCGTTTTTCGTAGATTTTGGTCATTACTGCACATTTTGACAGTGTCTCATAGAAGGTGAAGCCTTTGTCCACGTCAGTCGTTGACTCACTGACCGTCCTGATCTCAGTCAGGCTGCTGTGACACAAACTGGGCCTTCGACCTTAGGTTTAAACCTTCATAAACACACGCTGAGAGTTGATATAGTATTCTAAGCTTTAGATTTTAAATCAGCGGTGTCAAACTCATTTCCACCAGGGGGCCACATCAGCAATACAGTTCCCCTTAAAGGGCTGGTTGTAAATGGAAGACTGTATAGATCACATTTATATTTATTCAAGCTACAAATATTGTTCATTGCTGTGAAATTAAAAAAAAACTTTTAACTTCATAGGTTAAAAAACTCTGCTGCACGGATTTTACTTAATGCTTTTTAAGCTCCCGCGGGCCACACAAAGTGGCTTGGCGGACCACATTTGGCCCCCGGGCCTTGAGTTTGACACATATGTTTTAAATGCTTTGATCGAATGCTGCACGTGGATCAGTGGATGGACGACGGAATTATTGGAATTATTTCTAATCGTTCTGACCATGAGTTAAATCGGCCGAAAAATCCGTACATACCTATGATCGATTATCTGATCAAACAATACCAACAGGTGGCGTCACGTACCTTGTGAACACTCTTTGGGTTCTCCAGCCAGGCATAGTACATTTCCTCCACGTAGTTGGAGCTCGTCCCGTTCAGGAACGGCTCAGAGGCCACCGGCGCAGAGTAGCACCTGATTGGCCGAAACGTCCTTGCGCTGCCAGTGTTGGCAACTGTGATCGGCCGTTGCTGGCCTATAGTCTGAGCCGCCTGCGAGGCGGTGAGCGGACGCAACCGCGCCGCACAAGTCCTTAGTCGATGCATTAGCAGTTCTTAAAGTATCACGCACACACGGCGGTGGTCAGGCCGACGACGCCACGTGTTCCTCAACCTGACGGCCACAAGGGGAAATAAATTCCACTGAGGTCGAGACCCGGGGCGGGGGGGAGGCACGGAGGGATGAAGGGCACGTTCTTCGTCCACTTGTCCTTGTGGGAGAGGTGGAGACAGGGGACAGTGAATGAGAGACATAAAAACAACAACTTGTTGAGATCCCATGATTCCGTGCTTCATGTGCTTACGTGAGCAACGGACTTGCATTGCAGCAAAAAAAAAAAAAAAAACAAGTAAACAAATAAAAAGACCAGACTTCCTATTTCATAATCTCACAAGTAGCTACAGATTTTTTTTAAAAAATGTCTTAATTGTACATGGTATGTTTCAGATTTATTCAATTGAAAATGTGAAAATATGAATTTTCCCCGCGTACCACCGCAGAGCACTCATACCACAATTTGAGAACCACTGGTCCATAGTGTCAGAAATACACCACCTGACTGACAAACCTTAGGTTCTAAATCAAGACTTCAGTCACCCAACGATGCAAGAAGACAGAAGAAGAAGAAGAGAGAAATATCAGACGGCATTGCCACAGCACCAGCTGAGAGGTCAAAGGGCAGACAAGTGTATTCTAATTAAGGCCTGATTTTCTCACACAGATGTTAGTGTCTAAATCCATCTTCGTGATTGGAGGATGACGATGATTGAAACATACCGCCTCTTCTCTGGGTCAAGGCTGTGACCCCGACTTGTCTCTTACTGGAATACTGCACCAATTCCCAGTCCAATATTCCTGGTGTTGGTTAATTTTCTTTTTCTTCTCTAGTGATTCTAAATGTTGATCCCTCTGTTCCAATGTTATTAACGTGATGTCTTAACTATGATGATACTTTGACTACAACTAAATTGTTAGAAAAAAAAAACCCTCAATATATCATCATGCCTATAGTATCACAATATATCATAATATATCGTATTGTTGCCCTGTATCGTGATACATATCGTATTGGCAGATTCTTGCAAAACCTTTTTTCTAATTGATTTAACCTTTCGTAGCTACTGCTATCTGCTGCATCTTTACTACATTTATCATATATATGTATATACATGTATATATATATGTATATATTGGCAAAGTACAGATCCATGTGCAGCCTTTCGTGATTTCACAGAAGAAAAAATACCCACAAACACAACAATTGGTTCGAGGGGTGACCCAGTGAGTATACACAGAGAATTGTTCAGTCTACTTTAGTGAGTACTTCCTTGTTTTGTTTTTTTGTTCCTATTACACAACCGGCCTTTTGGGAAAATGTATAAAACAGCTCCCCCCCCCAGTAATCTGTCGCATAATTGTTCTCAAATTCTTTCTTCTTTTAAGTCATAATATATTAGTTGTTGTTAAGCGTGACCATCCACTACACATGTATTTTTAAATAGTTATTTCTCAACAAACTACAATAAATCCGTGTGTTGTTGAAACAGGAATGC